AAGTTTCTTAAAAACCATTGGAGCCACAGAATTCGTTTTGGCACCGTTGGATAGAGAATTGCTACAATACAGTGCTATCGGACCGGGTGAACGTTTTGGAGATATTCGATTCTTCATCTTCACTAAGCATCATGTTGTTCTCGTTGTTCTTCTAATAGCTCGTCGCCCTGCAACTTATGAGAAAACACCCTGAATATGATATTTTCCTTCCCAAAGCCCCCGGTTAGAGTTGATTCTTGGGATTAAGAATACTCATCACATTCAACATTTCACAGGGCACATTCACAGATTAGGTACTGAACAGTAGTGAACCAAAAAAAAGTTAAATAGAGCGCGGACTTTTGTAGTGCCGCTTCTCCATCAGTTAACGGAACAAACATCTTTTATCTGCACGTCCTGCTTTGAAAACTTTTCTAGCTCTCGGATAATTGGCTAAGTACATATTATTCGATTGCTCTGTTACCTGAGGAGCTTTTGTGCCTTAAGCTGCTTATTACATTGAAAAAAAGCTGCCCCCAAGGCGGCGACAAAAGGGATGCTTGTCTTCATTTATCTGGAGTCGATCAGCTTTCAAGTTTGTTTAGGACGGGAGGGGATTTATTCGTTGAATACCAGGCCACTATACGTTTATCCGAAATAAGGATGAGAGTTTTAGGTTTGGAACAAATCTGGCCGGTTTTTTTCGTGTGCTTTTTGAACGTGGGCATGTGGAAAATGCTTTCGCGTCCTTTAAGGTTGAGGAAGATTTTAGCGGGGAATTTGCAATTCAGATGGCGGCGAAAAAATATTTAAATTTTCAGCAGCCCTTTCAGGCTGATTAAAACACGCCGGTAGGTATTATTAGCCGGAAAGTTTCCGAACTGGGTGAGCAAAAAGGGTTGAACCCATTTGCTGAAAGTTGCCCGGATTCGGTTAATTTTTTAACGGTTCGCACCTGGACCTAGGCGGAAAGTGCTTGGATTTTTCCAAGGTTTTCCGCCAACAGTCGCTTTTTTGTGTCTCAATTGTAAAAAGTTCACAATTAATATTAGTTCGGAATAGTTTGCGGTTGATTTTGGTTTCTTTCCACTGGCCATTGGGGGGTTTTGGATTAGAGGAGCAGTTAGTTGAAAGAAAATTTAACACTTAGTTCTTCAGCTAAATTTTCCGGGTTTGTTAGGTTGCAGATCGATATTTCGCAACGATAACTCCAAGTGCGATGGTGGTGTAATGGTCAGCATAGTTGCCTTCCAAGCAGTTGATCCGGGTTCGATTCCCGGCCATCGCATCGAATCTTTTGCGGAAATTGTTTAGAAAAATCGCAGATTTTTGCATGTTTTTTTCATGTTTTGTCCTCGTCATTTCAACAGTGTCAGTGATGGAATCCTCAAGATTGATATGTTAATCTGAATTTTCCCTTTCTAGGCTGTTTTCACTCATCAAAGCATAATTTAGTGCTTTACGCAGTGGTGTAGAAATATGTGCTTCACGATAATTGGTTCCTGAAAAATGAACCAAAAGGTGGTCGAAAACATGACTAATTTTGCACATAAATGTGCGATTGTCAAATTTAGCTTTTGGTGTAAAAATTGTCACTTTCCTCACGCACTTTCCACTGGCTAAATCGGATTTCTACTTCTCTTTCCAAACTCCTACCAACTCAAATGGTTCTTGCGGAACTTGGAAAAAGGCGGCGTCCGGAATGAGTCTTGAAAAATTGAAAAAAAGCACTTTTTGGGGAAACTGTCGACATTTTCCAAACGATTCTTCACCCCCCAAAAGCTTTTTGAGAAAAGGGCAAACAGGTGGCGAAAAACAAAATGCCTTATCTCACATGCAAGTATCTGGTCTTCAAATTTCTACCACTAATTCATGACTCACTTTTTACCTACTGAAAGGGGTTTCTAATTTCCTATTCATTGATAGGAAAACGGGCTTCGGGGCTCAAACTGTTCTTGAGCATACCAGGAAACAACTGCGTCATGTTGGAGACAATTTTGCAGCTGAAAAAGAGCACTTTTTCCTTATCCCACAAACTTGTCTTGAGAAATGAGCAAAAAGTCGACGGGAAACAAGAAATGTTGGTCTAATTTTGCTTTTTGTGTGAAACCAGCCACTATTTCCTCACTCGTGGATGCTCTTAACATTCACCCTGATGGACTAATTGCTAATCCGCCAATGGTCCATTTTGACAGCATCATTTCAAGTCGAGGCCCCGAAAAATTGAAACCATCGACATAATCCGATTGAAGCCTATCGGATTAACGTTGCAAAGCCCGACTTTATGAAGGGATGGCTGGAGGATTTTGTGCCCAGTAACCTTTGAAGTCAAAAACCGGTCATATTTCAGGCCCTTTGTCCCGTAAACAAACATATCGTGCATTGTTATCGCGCAAGAACAACGTGTTGATTTTAAACGGCGTTTTTATGATAAATCGTGCTGAAAAGGTCGGTTTCCTGGTCGCATCCCCCTGGGTGGTACCGCGGGCAATAAATGCGATCCATGTTTATGATAGCGGAATGATAATTTCGCCCCTAAAACATACGCATTTAGGCAGCAAGGGCCGCCTAATCCAAACGGAGTATTAATGCTCCCCGTGGATTCCGGCCCAGTAAGGAACAATTTCAGTTTTCTCGCGATTGTTATGGCTGAGTCACGGGGGCCCCATGTGCGGAAATTCGCCCCCCTGGAGAAAATATTCATTCTAGTTGTTCCTTAATGCAGCGAGAATGGGAAGGTGACTCAACAGGCTTAAGAGGCAAATACTCGTCTATGAGCGATTGTTTCAAGCTTCATTTCAACGCTCAAACACGTACTTTTATTGAAATTGCGGGTCAGTTTTTGGTGTTGATAGTCCTGCCCTATTTACAACCCTCTCGTCTCCAGGAACCCCTACTTTTCTTCAAAAAGTTTGATGATGACAGCGATTTTGCGTATTTTATTGCGTTGAAAATAGTAAGGAATGTGTTGGTGAAATAAAGTGGACACACTCTTAATGTATGAATAAAAGTATATTGATAAATGATAAAGAATTATTTTCTTCATTGATTCCTTCAAACTCTTCTTCGTTAAAGTTTACATCACAGCTGATGATTATTCTTCTTTTATTTTTGTTCCATAATCGACAATTTGTTGCTTTTTCGGTCCAACTTTTTGCGTAGCTGAGTTGGTATTGCCATGTAAGCTGCACATCCAAATACTCTCAAGTGCTTTGATTCAGGTTTTCTCAGTATTTACCGCTTCAGACCATAATTCTGTAAAAACATTTCCATTCAACATCATGGAGCTTGCCGATTCAACTATTGTTCTTATTTCCCTTTCCCAAGAACCGTTTTGTTGAGGTGAGTAGGGTGCCGATCTCTCATGCAATATTCCCTCTGTTTGTAGATATTTTTGAGAATTTTTATAGATATATTCAGTCTTATTATCACTCTTAAAAACTTTAATTTTATTGGCAGTTTGATTTTCGATCAACGCTTTATATTCTTTAAAGCGTGCAAACACTTCACTCTTCTGTTTCAGAAAATAAACGTTTCTGTATCCAGTACACTCATCCTTGAAAATTACAAAGAAACGTGATCCGCTCGGTGAGTCAACGCTCATTGGATCACATACATCAGAATGTATTTTATCACCATGTTTCTCTGCTTTCATCTTCGTGACGTGTTTATGTGATTTTCACGTTTGTTTTCCATATTGGCAGGCTTCACAGAAAATTTCATCTTGATCAGCAAGTTCCAAATCACATACAGTGTTGTGTTTGTTTGCGTCTTTTATCGCCTTGAAATTAATATGTCCTAAACGGTCATGGCATAATTTAAACGAATTGGTTTTTGTTAGATTGCATTCTTTGGTGTTTTTGTGGAAGCATAAACCATAAGTCATCTTTTCTTTTTCCTATGCATGAAATGTTGCCAGCTTCATCAAGAAATCTGCATTCACTCTGATTTGCTTGATGAGTGAATTTCTT